ATTATATTTTTGAATCAATATTTTATCTAAAAGGATATAAAGTATGTCACCGAGCATATGGATCAATTGATCATAGATATAAATACTTAGAAGGAAGTCTTTGCAATGAATACGTATTCTAATAAATGCAGATGTTTCGAATACATCGAAGGATGATGGATGATTTTGCAATGCGTATGTTAGAATTTTATGTAAGATATAAATATTTAAAAAATTATTTTTAAAAATAATATTTTTAACTATTTTTATCAAAAGATTTTCGTAGGAGTGACAATTGTTAAAAAAGAAAATTTATCATATTCATAAAATATTTTTAAGAATCTTTAAACATATTAAATATATTTATAACATTATCAGAAATTATAATTCTCATAAAACATATTTCCCAAAATGCATAATTTTTAGGAAGGAAAAATATTTTATATCACAGAAGACTTACTCTAAAGTCAACAAAATAGTGGTGCACTGTGCTGCACGTTATATTGATTATGCTTTTGTACCCTCTATAAATTAATTAATTTTATAATTGAAAAAAATATTACCTAAAAAAACAAATAAGAGCCGATACTTGAATTTGATTACTGTTATTAGTTATGACTTTTTTTTTTAATCATGTAGTTATATTATAGGTTAGCTCATTTAAAATAGAAAAAAATATTTCTTACACTGTCTAATAAAAACACACACTTTAATTTAAAAACTACAATTTATGAACATGTTTTGATTATATTTAATTATTTAAAATTAATTTATCAAAATTAATTTAAACAATTTTAAACCATATAAACAATATATTTAAGAAAATAGAATAAACAGAAAACAGTGACTGTGATGATCATTGGATTTTCTGTTTCAGTTATTATTCATAGATATATATTTGGGACTCATTTATAACTAGAATTATAGGAATTATCAAGTAAATTAATTTATGATTTTTAAATTTTGTTAACATGTATCCATAAAATTAATACAAAGAAATAAAATAATATCATTTATTATAATTACTTTTTATTATTTATCCTAAATATTTATTAGAAAAAAGTTTTGATTTCAATAATTTTCAAAATGTTAGATTTTATTTGATAACAAATATTATAATGATTTTCAAAATAATTATAAAAGTAAAATTATATTTTAATTAAGAGTTGTTGTTTCTACTCTTTTTTTTTATATGTACTTAAAGACACAATTTTTAGCAAAACTCATTATTAATGATTGGAATGCAATCATAGCAATTGTGAATACTATAATTTTACTTTAAAAAATTATATTTATTTTTTGAAAATTTAAATTTGATTATTACAAAAAGGAATAAAAATAAAGTATTTAAAAAAATAAAATTTAATCTTAATAAAATGAAAAAACTTTAGAATTAGCTTCTAAATAAAAAAAATAAAACATTGCGAACAATTAAACTCATAAATCAATGTTGCTTTATATGTAAATATGGAAAAATTCAGAGTTTAGCTTTTTATGAAAGACTCTAGCATAAAAGGAGGGCTAAAAAATTTGAAAAGGAATTTTTTGAAAGATAAAGAGAAGAAGGAAGGAGGGAGAAGAACGAGAGAAAGCAAAAATGTTAAAGGAGGAAAAAAAATAGAAAGAGAAAGAATAAAAATTTCTGATAATAAAGAGAGAGCACACAAAAAGGGATCAAAAAAATTTTGTTCACAAAGGTGAATAGAAGAGTGCTTAATAGGAGAGTAGAAAGAATAAAACAAAAAATGAAAGAAGAAGAAATTGTAGATAGAAAGTTAAAGAAAAAGACAAGAGAAAAACTACCATTTTTATCATTTTATCATCTTTTATTGTGATTAGATTTTTTTTACAGGCATATTTCCTTACTTTAGTTCAAAAAATGTTTTGCCTTTCTGTTTCTTCAAATCTTTGCTTCTGTTTCATCATCGTGAGTTTATTTTCTCAAGTTTTTGTTGTAAATATTCTTATGAACTTAAAGACATTAATATTGTTTCAAATATTGTAATTGTTTTAAAAAAATTTAGTTTTTTATAAGATTCATTATCTTTTTTATTACTATAAAATTAATGTAAATAATAATTGTAAGATGTATCATATGAGCTGTGGTAGTGTTATATAAAACAATAATAATAAATGATTTACGATGTTTATTTTTGATAATGAATTTACTCGCTATATCTCTCTTTTATATATATATATATATATATATATATATATATATATATATATATATTATTCTTGTAGAGTCTTTACCTAATCATATTAAAAGTTATTATAAACTAATTTTAAAATATAATTAATTTAATAACCCATAAACTTGCTAGTTTAATATTTTTGTCTAAAATTCTATTTCACTTTCTAAATAATCCTCTAGATGTAATTTATAAACTTTTAATTTTAGATATTTTGCATATTTTATAGTTTCTTTCAATTTTTTTTCTCTTTAAAAAAAATTAACTTGAATATTTTATCACAAGTAATTTATAATATAAAAATTGTAATTAAAAGTATTTAAGGCATATTTCAAAAGCTTTTCAAAAATGTTATATATTAAATTCAGGAAACTAAATTTATTATTTTAGTAATGCTGGAGTGAAACTTTAAAAAAAATTATTTGTTTGAAGCAGTAAAAAATATCTATTTTAATTATGAAAACAAATATATATATATATATATATATATATATATATATATATATTTAAGATCCGTGATAGTTACAAACTTCGAATAAAATTAGTCTTAGACCAGTTATATTTAAAGACAGGACATGATCTTTTATTTAAAAAAATATATAAATTCTCATTTTTTATTTTAAAATTAATTTTTTCTTATATTTTTATAAATTTTAGCATGCGTTAAAAAACTGTGGCAAACTTTCTCTAAACTAATTGTTTGGACGTACGAGCTATTTCGGTCGATCATAAATTGAGTGAAGCCAATTTCTTAGTTGTTGGGAAAGCTTTTGGCATCTTTCTTTTTGTTTTTTCTCTTAGAAATCCATATGAAGATATTATTTGGGGTTGTTTGGGTGCGGAAGGCAAGATAAATTTTGTATTTTAAATAAATATATTTAAAATAATATAATATAAATAATATAAATTTTTAATTTAAAATTAAATATGTTCTCTATTCTATTTTTCTCTAAAATTAATATCCCAAATATATTTTTAGTGTTTTATTTTAATTTATTTAATACTTTAAAATAATTAAAAGTATTAATTATTTTTGATAAAACCATTATTTATAGTTTATTTAAGTAAAGAATAAAACATATAACACTAAAAATAGTTTTTAATAAGAGTATTTTAGTAAAATAAATTTATTTTATCATAATAATTGGTTATTTTTTAAAAATTATACATTAATACTAAGTAACATTAAATATAAGGCACGGAATACTACTAAGGCGTTTATGAGATGAATCTCTTAATTAAAAAGAGAATAAGCACCTATAAATACTTTGTTAGTTAAATTTAATTAAAAATTCATAATTTATGATTGTTTGATCAAATTTAATTGTAAAAATATTTAAAATACTTTAAATGATTGAAAATAAAAGTTTCAAGATTATATTATGCTTGTATAAATTGTTTTAAAAAAAATAAGGGTTAAAACAAATATTGGAAGTTACTCTTTTTTGTTTTTTAGTCTAAATCACATGTTAAGCACTTTATCTGAAGATTTAACACAGGTGTATTAAGTAAGATTCAAATTTGAAATTATCGATAAAGCTGGAACAACCCTATTAGTCGATGAATGTACTTAATGATATTTGAGGCTATTTTTAATAAGTTAAATGTTACATGACTTAATTTTCAAAAAATATAAATTCTCTTTTAAAATTTATAAGCTTCCTTTATTTTTTAGTTTACCAATCAATTTTACTAATTTATTAAAAAATTATAAACCCCAAAATAACTCCAACTGAGTAGCTTCTAACTTGGCCAAGACATCAACACATTAGTTCAAACTATCATTTTCTTAAAATAAAAAATAATAATTAAACAAATAAAATCACGTGGTCTGATTAATAGTGGGGCACAAATAGAGAAAATGGTTACAAGAACAATAAATAACTTTTGAAAAGTAGATGACAATAAAATTTTATTTGTAAATTTTAAATATTTACTGAAGTATCCTTAAAAGGGGTTATGTCAAAATAATTTTTAAACTAAATTTAAATTATAACTTTTAATTATCTTCTTAATAATAATTTTATAAATTCTGTTGTATGCCAAGATTATAATGCAGTCAAGTAAGATGTGTAACAGTACCACATGTGAAACATACGGAATACTTACCAATTAATTAACTTCATAACATTTCATAAAATCAATATAGTCATAATAATGGTTAATCATCGCATTTATTTTCAACTATATCTTTGTCTTATCTATAAATTAACAAAATTTTGAATGTTTTGATGACAATAGTTTAATCAAGTACCTTTATAGTTTCTTTCAATTGAAATTATTGAACCATTTTTATAATACATAATGAATAATCTTAAACAATAACGTAAATTACGCTGATGTCTCCTAATATTTAACCTGATTACTCTTAATTATAACCATTCCCCCCCCCCCACCCCAAAAGTTTCTCTTATGTCCTCGAAATTTAGTTAACCTGAGAAAAACACGTTTCATTTTTCTTTTAAAAACAAATTTTACAAAGATAATATTTTTATATATCATTTTTTATTCTTAAAATACAGTATAAATTTATAATATATAGCGTTTTTTTTTATTAATTTTGATAAATTAACTAGTTATTTTTGTTTCTTAAAAAATGTAAAGCAATAATTTGTAAGAGCCATTTTAATTTTCTTAATTATTGGATCTAACTTGTCGGAGAAAGACATAAATTTTACTATATAGGAAACTACAATAATGAGGCAAAATAATTGTATTTCAAACTCAAGTAACTATGTCGTTATCTCATAATCGGACCCTTTGAACATGTCCTTAAACAATGGCCAGATGCTATAAATAGATGTGTAAGTATTGTGTCTACTCAAATATCATCTCCAATATGGATCCTGCTTCTTATGTCCAAACTATTGCAGGAATCTTAGCTTTGTTAATTGCATACACTGTCTTTAGGTCCATTAGATCATCCAATGGATCTAAGCTCAAGAAAGTACCCGAACCTTATGGTGCTTTACCCTTCATAGGTCACCTTCATCTTCTTAATGCTAGAGTACCATATTTTAGGACCTTTTCGGTCATGACTGAGAAATATGGTTCAATTTTCTCCCTTAGGCTGGGTTGCCACAACACCTTAGTGGTTAGTAGTAGGGAAATTGCCAAGGAATGCCTCATAACAAATGACAAAGTTTTTGCCACAAGGCCAAACACAGCAGCAGGTAGATACATTGGTTACAACAATGCAATTTTTGGGCTTGCCCCTTATGGCCAATATTGGCGTGACATAAGAAAAATGGCCACTCTCGAGCTTCTTTCAAGTTATAGGCTTGAGAAGCTAAAGCATGTGAGAGATAGTGAAACATTTTCTCTGGTAAAAGATGTGTACTCATCTTTGTCTTTTGGCAACAAATTGAATGGTGTGCCAATAAGCAATTTATTGGAGCACATGACATTTAACATAATTGTGAGAATGATAGCAGGGAAGCGCTATGGTAGAGAAAGCGCTAACAAAGAAGAAAACGAGGCGTGGAGGCTAAGAAAGGCCATAAAAGATGCAACGTATTTGAGTGGTGTTTTTGTGGCTGCTGATGCTATTCCTTACCTTGGTTGGCTAGATTTTCAAGGATATGTGAGTTTCATGAAGAGAACCGCTAAGGAAACGGACTCTATTCTTGAGGAGTGGCTTCAAGAACATCTCAGAAAGAGGAGTGAAGAGAGGAATGGTGTAAGCCAAAATGACTTCATGGATGTGATGATATCAAAATTTGAAGATCAAGATGAGATTTATGGCTGCAAGCGCGAGATAGCTATCAAAGCCACAGCAATGGTATGTACTACTTTTCCTCCACTGCAATAGTTGCTACTATGTTAATCAAATGTTCTTTAATCTCTATTCTCAGACTTTTCACTGAATTTAAATATCAAACAGTAACATTTTTTTAAAATTATTTATTATATTAAAATATAAAAATAGTTTAAATATATCATAGTGTAAAAAGATTTTATTAATAATTGAGTTTAATTTTGAAGCATTATCATTCTAAAAATTTTTACACAGTAAATAGTCATTCTATGTTACGAATATAATCAAAGTTTCAACGGCATGACATCCTCTAAGAAAACTATTTAACGTTCAAATCTACAAGGATACATTTTATTCGTTCACATAACTTCAAATCCGTTTCTAAAATCCATTTTACACGCGATTAAGTACATGTGATAAGAAATTAACAAATGACGTATTTTATTAAAATATTTAATTTTATTTTGTAAAAAATAATTAAGAATATTTTTTTAATTATAAAAAAATAAAAAATAATTTTAAAATGTATTTATTATAATTTTTATATTAAAAGATACTCACTTATTCCTTATTTAAATAAATATATTAATTATTTAATATTATGAGTAATTTTGGAATGTAAAATAGATTTATAATATATTTTTTATTAATTTTCATAAATGAATTATATTTTCTTGTTATAAATAAAATTAAAGGTAATAACACTTAATATTATTATTAATATATTAAATTTTGTAAATTTTATTAAAATTTTATCATATAAATTTTTATTATTCTTTAAATACATATAAAAAAACCGTAAGTAAAATAATATTGCTTTTAATTCTGTTTATCTCCGAAAAGAGAAAATAAATTACATATAAACCAAAAAAATCGATATTTTCTTGGACTTAATTAATTGGTAAATTATAAATTAGAATATGAGGAGTCTCTTTCTGAACTACTCCAATTGTACCTCTATTCTTATTATCACTCTAGATAAAGAAAAATTTATAGAGACTGAAAAATTTAATTATTTTATTAAAATTAGTTGCTAAATTTATAATTTATTCTTTATTAACGAGTATATTTATTTATTTATTATTTTAAACATTTAAATAGTATAAATTTTTATATAGACAAAAAAAATTGATGAAAGAATAATAATTATTATTATCTTAAATTTTTATATAAATAAATAAAATAAAATAAGAGATAATAGGATCAATGCAGACCGAAAGAGAAAAACAAAAAAAAAACAAAAAAAAACAACAGCCATCAGTCCAATATCGTACAATTATAAAACTTCAAGCTAAGGAAGAAACACGTTTGGTGTCGTAGATGGTCCCCATCCTAAGAAGTACCCACACGACTTCAAATGCCACAAAATTTTTAAGAAACAAATCACAATTAAAATATATTAAGTAAAAAAAATAACCTCAACTTTTGTGTCAGAATTTAAACAAAATATTTAATTAAAAATTATATTTTATTTATATATTTAATGTAATAAATATATTTTTAATAAAAATATATTTTTATTTTTTGCTTAAAGTCAATCTTAGTAATTAGAATTAATAAAACTAAAAATACAATACAATAATCATAAAAAAATATTTTAGAAATAAAAATTTATTATATTACCTTAATATATTAAAATCTTAAAAAAGTGTTTGGAAAGTTATTATTTTTTTACATTCCAGAATTTTTTATTCATTAAATATTTAAAATTTATTTTTAAATTTTTTTAATGAAATTAATTTAATATAATAAAATAAATTTTTAAATTCTAAAATATTTAATTTATAAATAATAATCTATTTAAAGTTATTAATTTCATATAGGAAATGTGTTGGTCATTGCTACGGCAAATTTGCAGTCCACTCCTTAGTTTTCCATTTTCCATGCTCAAACCTTCTTTTCAGAAACTCATATTCATAATCAACTTTCAACAGCTGCAAACAACTTTCCACTGTGTAACTTACTAACTCGTGTTCATTTTTGCCCAATAATGTAAAATGAAACTTAAAATATATTCACACAATATATGCTAACATTATGTCAATATTAAATTATTTTATTAACATTAATTATTCAATTTCTTAATTTATCTTTCATTAGTAAGTCTTTTACTAACTCTTGCCCTACTAAAATAATATATATATTTATTTGACAAAAACTTTAAATTGGATCTTAAAATATAAGAGTTAAAATTTGATCCTTAAAAAAAATATTCAACATTATTTGCTAAATATATGATTTGTTATAATTAGCTTTCACAAAGTTGATGATAAAGTACGATATAAATATAATCTATTTTCACTTTTTCATAACACTTCATTGATAATATACACATGAATAAAGTATTTTTTTAGATATTTTTATTATAATATTTTTAATCGGTATCATTAAAAATACATTAATGTTTTATGATTTTTTTTTATACATCATTATTTTTATGAGATTTAAGTAACGGATTCTAACAAAAATATTAATTAAAAAGTTTTTCATCTTTTAAAAATTAAATTAAATAGACATAGTGTTTAAATTTTACAATAAAAAAAAATTATTAAGAAAAATAAATAAAAATAGTCAAAATAATTTTTAAAATTTTTCTTTATTATATTATTTACCATATTCCATATTTTGTCTTTATTTTTGTTGTATAATTTAATTGCACTATATGATTACATTGCATGTTCTCCACACAATGTTTTTAAGAAAGAAAAATGTCCTCCACAAATGGTATTGATAGGTTTAACGGTGTAGTCAACGTCCATGACTTTTTCTCCATCAAGTGACGTGTGACACCCTACCTACACTGACCTCACAATTTGTGAAAAAGACGGATATTTGATTGGTTTGACTATTCTACCAGGGATAATTTAACAACTTAAATATATTTTTCTTTTTATAATTTAATAATTTTTTTTATTTTTAAATGATTCTTTTTGTTTTTAACGAACTAAATTTCTAACTTCTTTTATTGACATGATTAAACTAAAAATTACCATTTAAGAATATTTTAATAAATTATATTGTTCATATAAATTAAAAATAAAAATTTATTATAAATTAGTCAAAATAAAAAATTCACTTAAATAAAATAAAATAAAATAACATCAAAATGTAAGCGTGAAAAGGATATTTAGCCCTATATTATTATGATAATCTATATCATATGTTTCATTATATTATTTTTATAGTTTCTTTCATATTATTTATTTTCTTATATTTTTATTTTTTTCTATAATAAAATAAACCTAAATATTATTGAACGTAATATTTAGTAAAAAAAAAAAGGTGTAAGTTTTCAATAAGATTTATAACTTTTTGATTTCTGATTTTTTTAAAATTTTAATAATAATTTACATTTTAAAATTTTTATATAATTTCTTAATTTTAGAAATGTTATTCTTTTAATTATGTCTTATTTAATTTAGTAAAATAACTACTATTAATAATAAAATATGTAATGTATTTATTTTATAAATTTTAAAAATAATCATATTATATGTCTTTATTTCTATATTTTTTTTATTTTAATAATATATAAATAATTTTTTTAATAATATATAATAAATTTTAATATATAATATATTTTTAACCTATAAGTAAATATCAAATTTTGTATTTCGTTAAAAATTATAAAATTATGTAAGTATTTAAATTTGATATATGATGTAAATTGGATCCAAACTCTTTATATATGTATATATATAATTTAGTAAATTTTTAAATAATTAGAATTTTTATTTACCTATGAATTGATTATAAATTTATAAATTAATGAAAATAAGTTATGAAATTATGACTAAAAGTTGTGTATTCATATTTTATTTTCTTCTAAAATTATTGGAAAAGTTACAAATTTTAGGATATAAATTACGAAGTTAAAGAAAATTAAGGAAAATATGATACTCATTTTAAAGAGAGCATCAAAGTAAGTTCTCATGTTATAATTGAACATTATGTACAAATTTGTTTTCTAATTTTGGTCTCACTGATGAGAGATCATTTAGTTTAAACTACTAAATAATTTAAGCTTATTTTGTGTATATTCTTTATGGAAAATCATATTAAAATAATTATGTAGTCGATTTTTCATGTTTCAATAAGGGAATTTTTTTTGTCACAAATATGCCATGATATAGTTTGTTTGGATTATATAGAGAGAAATCGTTTTACGTATTGAATTAGAAGTAAAATGATACACTTCATTAAGAAAGATTATTACACTTAACCACCCAAATGATATACAATGAACTTTTCAAAATTTTCAGCACTAACCAGCATTTCATGAAGAAATTAAGATATACATTTGTTTTATGTTTAACCTAATCAATACTTTTTTTAAGAGCTGGAATTTAACAGTTTCTTTAATATTATGTTTTCGATCCACACTTTATTAATTCCCACCAATTTTTGGTGCAGATGCTTATACTTACGGCGTCAGGAAGCACAGCCATGACACTTACATGGGCACTTTCCTTGCTCCTAAACCATCCAAAGGTCCTAAAGAAAGCGCAACAGGAATTGGACACCAACGTAGGACAAAAAAGATGGGTCCAAGAATCTGACATCAACAACCTCAATTATTTACAAGCCATTGTTAAAGAGACCCTTCGTTTGTACCCACCAGCACCCTTAACAGGGATCAGGGAAGCCAGAGAAGATTGCTACGTGGCAGGTTACCATGTAGCAAAAGGCACACGTTTGCTAATTAACCTTTGGAAGTTGCAAAGGGACCCACAAATATGGTCCAACCCTGATGAGTTTGAGCCTGAGAGATTCCTCACCACTCACCAAGACATTGATTTTTTGAGTCAAAACTTTGAGCTAATCCCATTTAGCTTTGGAAGAAGGTCATGCCCTGGCATGGCATTTGGGCTCCAAGTGGTTAACTTGACCTTGGCTCGGTTACTTCAAGGCTTTGATATGTACCCAAAAGGTGGTGTTGAAGTTGATATGACTGAAGGGTTAGGTGTGGCCTTGCCTAAGGAAAATGGACTTGAAGTGATGCTAGAACCACGTCTTCCTTTGGAGCTTTATGAAAGCCTTTGAACAAGGTGTTTCAAAAATACAAATTCTATTTTATTTCTGCTCTGGGATATTGGAGCCCCAAATAAATCCCACCGTCTTTTGTGTTGTATTCTTATTCCACTAGTAGTTTATGTAGGTTAATGGTATCAGCTGTTGTACCGTTGCCGTATTTGATATCAAATAGTTAATAACGTATTTGATAGCATGTATGATTATTTTTTTCTCTTATTTATTTATTTATATTTCATAAATAGTATTTTAAAATTTTAAAAATAATAATAAAATTCATTTTAATATAAGAAGAAAAAGCAAAACTAAAGTTTTAATTAGGGCTATGCATGAATTGGATTCACACAAAACTAATTAAATTTATTTTCAATCTAATTATATGGATTAAATTTTAAACAATTTATTTTATCTTTTTTAGAATCAGTTTAAAATTTGTTTTGGGAAAGATAATGACATGTAAGGCATAATGATGATGGTGGATCTTAAGACAATACATAGTACATTTCATGTTGTCAAGGTGGAAGTGGTGAAATAGTAAACTCTTATCTCTTTTGACATTAAAGACCATGTTGCTTAACCTAACTTATTGATATATCAAGGTTCACAAGTTTATATGGGATAAACACACATCGTATTGGTTCAGGTTCAAAAGTTTAGAGTTAGGCCTATATATTATGATATTCCTCTTTTACTATCATTATCGTGTCTTCTACTTTTTACCTTATAAAATCAAATATAGAAACATTTGACCAAGTCCTTCTAAACATTCTTTAGATACTAAATAATGTATTATCTTTGTTTTATCAACTTGCAAAAACCTAAAATTGCAAAAATTTTAAAGAGTCATTTAAATAAAAGTATTTGCAAGTACTAAATCATACCTCTAATTTTTTATTCCACAAATGAATGTATGGTTGGTAAATTAATGATCAATCTTTATTAGTCATTTCTTTCAATATTGCCCTATGTATACTTGTTTAGTAGGCAAGTATACCCAACGAAAGTAATATATGTAAACTTCTATTTTTGTTATCTATTAATTTGGTATCGTATGATGATTGTTAATGCATGTTGCTTAAAATTAGGAGAGTTTTAAGTGTGTAAGTTGCAAGATTTTTCGCTGTAGCAAGATGTGTCTCACTGTAGTAAGAAAAGGCATTCAGAATCAAGCTCTCTGAAGTTCTGTCGCTATAACGAGAAGTGGATAAGGTTAGCTCAACTAATCCTCTCGCTGGAGCGAAAAATTCTCGCTGGAGTAAGGAGATTCTCGTTAAAGCAAAAATGACAGATACCAAGGAAAAAAAGATATATGATTTTTTCACTATAGTGAGAGAAGAGCTCACTATAGCGAGAATGTTGCAAGTTGAGGGGTATTTAAAAGTTTTCAAGTTAAGAAACTTGAATTCTAATCCAAGTTATGACCCACTCTTCATTTTCTCTGACCTCTCTCTTTCTTTTTTTCAGAAAACCCTTGATAAACCACAATCTTTCTCCAATCTAAACTTGAAAGTTCACTCTTCTTGATATTTGGTAAGTTCTTGAAGCTTGGTTATCCATTTCCTTGGTTGTTTTCTTGTTTCTCACCTCTAAAAAGGATCTCTTGTGATATTTAGGAAAAACTCAACCTTTTAAACAAGATCTCTAACAAATCTTTTTTTAAAACTTCCATTTCAAGGTAAGAAAAGTTTTTTCTCGTTGCTAAAAGCTTGATGTGTTTATATTCATAAAAATACTGTGGTGGGATGCATGATGGTGGATATATGTTGGATTGAAACATGTTTTATGTGTTTGATGATGTGAATGACCTCTATTTTAAGCATGTGTGTATGTATATTGTGGACTGAGTATGGAGGTAACTGACCTCAGCAATGCTTAATTGATATATGACGTAGTTAATGTACTTGAATGAAATAGAAAGAGGAAAGGATGAACAAAAGATTAACATGGAAATATCAAGTTAGAGTTTGATAAGAAATACAAAAAGAGAAATGGAATGAGAAAGAAAAATGATAAGGACAAGTATAGATAGTTTAGAGATATACTGGGGTATGGAAGATAGAGGCAATTTGAGAAATCTTAAAAAAATAAGGGTAGTGGATACTTTTCTTGAATAGCGCATAACAACTAAGAGTAAGAGCATCATTGGCCTCACATTTATTTCCTGACCACGTTTTTGCTAAAAGAAACTGGGTCAACACACGTTATATCCGTGTACCTACGGCTATCTAGCAACTATCTATGTTAAGGAAGACCTTAAGGGATTTTAAGAGCAATGAATGTGTCGCAACCAGAGACACGATGGGACAACGATGACAAGGAGTCGCCACCAAAGTTTATTAAAGAAAAACATTGGAAAAAACTTTTAATAAAATAATCTTCGAAATCATGTTTGGACTCGAGAGTTGTTTACGCATAGGGAAGGTATTAGCATCCTACGACATCCGTTGATTAAAACGGTTACTTTCTAACTAATTGTGCAAAAATTATTTCAACTTTAAAAATTATTTATTTCATTTTTTAAAGAAAATTATTGATTTTTTTTTCTGATTTTTCATTTATTTTTTTTATTTTTAACAATTTTTTTTAAGTTTTAATTTTTTATATATTTTTTAGAAATACAACAAAAAATTTTGAATTAAAGAAATGAATATATATAAAAAAAATACTATTTTTCTTTTATTTTCGTATTAAATAAATTTAAATAAAATATGACATGATTTTTTATTTTTCTTAAAGTAAGATTTTCTTTTTTTCTTTTTTGTATTTTCTCATTTTTGACAATGAGCTAAAAATCTAATAGAGAAAGTGAAATATTTATAAAATATTATTCTTTTTATTATCATATAAAATAAATTTTAAAAAAATCAAAATTACTATTTTTCTTTTTATTTTCGTATTAAATAAATTTAAATAAAATATGATATGGTTTTTTATTTTTTCTTAAAGTAAGATTTCCCTTTTTTTTTTTTAGTTTTTGAATAGTGCTAAAAATATAATTCAGAAAGTGAAATATTTATAAAATATTACTTTTTCATTATCATATTAAATAAATTTGAATAAAAATCAACCTAATTTTTTTATTGTTAAGCAAAAATTCATTTTTTGCATTTTTTTAAAGAACTAAAGAATTTAGTTTTAATTGGAAAAATGGATTATTTACAAAGTATTATTCTCTTTTTTATTTTTTGAATTGGATAAATTTAAACAAAATTTAATTTAATTTTTTCTCTCTTTTTTTTAAGTATAAAATTCGTTTTTCATATTTTTTAATAAAAAATTAAAAAATTAATTTAAATTAGGAAGATGGATTATTTATAAAATATTATTCATTTTTTATTTTTCATATTAAATAAAATTTAGCTTATTATTTTAGTAAATATTTATTTTTTATTTTTTAAATAAAGAAACATAAAAAATTTAATTTTAATTGAGAAAAGGGATTAATCATAGGATCTTATTGCCTCCTCTCTTTTTTTTTCTTTCTCTTTCTCTTTTTTTTTTTACATTTTTGGCATTAATGAAAATAATCTTAAAACATTTTTTTTCTTTATTTACTTATTCCCCTTTTTTACATAAACATAGAAATTTTGTTTTCCTTTTTTATTATTTTGAATTGCTCATAGTAAAATTTTTTTAAAATAATTTAAACTTCAAAAAAAAATAAAAAAAATAGACTTGACGAGTCAGGTTCCCGCTCCTACGTATCTCCCGTATGCAACAGAAGAATCAAAGCTGTCACATAGTTCTTTTGAAAATTAGGTTTGAAAGAGTTTCAAAAGTGTTAATTTTTTTTTGCTTGATTTTTACTTTATTATTATTATTTTTTATTTATTTATTTTTAAATCCACTCTTGCACGGGGTTCAAGTTAGTACACGACCACTCAATAAACCCTTACGATCCAAGCGATATTAAAGGTGGATCCACCACTCTATCAAAATTACTTGGCCGTTGCGTGGATTTAAAAGCCTCTTTTTTTTATATATATAACCAAAAATGTCTTATCGATATTGGATTTATATATATATATATATATATATATATATATATATATATATATATATATACAATAAGAAATAAACGAGAAATATATAGAACAATAAAAACAAACACAAGAGCAAACAAAATAACAAGAAAATAATCATTGTTTGATCTAGGAATTAGTGTTTATTTTTTGGAATTTGTAAAGAAATTGAAAATTTTAAGATTTACAAAGAAAGAAATAATTTTTAGGGTTTGAAAAATTTAGACTTTTATAATTTGTGAAATGGTTAGGGTTTAAAAAAAGGTTCTTTTTTTTTAGGTTTTTGTAAAAAAGGAATACTTGAGGTTTTTTAAAAATTTATTTTTAGCGTTTTAAAAAAAAAATAACACTTTTAGGTAGAACATGCTTTAGAGTTTGCAAAATGATACTTTTAAGGTTAAAAAAAATGTTTAGGGTTTGTAAAAAAGGAATACTTGGGATTTTTCAAAAAAAAATAATATTTTTAGGGTTTGTAAAAAAGGACACTTTTGGGTAGAAAATGCTTAGGGTTGGCAAAAGGCAAAGCAAACAATGCTTGTTTTTTTAAAAAAATTTAGGGTTTGCAAAAAAGGGACAATCTTTATTTTTAAAAAAAAAGTGATACATTCAATGTGAACTAACCAAATAAGGAAAAGATAGAGATGCAAGCAAAGTACACATAATAAAAACAAAGAGATTTTTGTTTAGAAATAAAAATTTAGACTTTTAATATGAACAGAAAGAAGAAATGAGAACAATATAATAGATGCAGAGGTATTTCATTTAGAAACAAAATTTGAGACTTTTAATATAACAAAAAAAAATATACAAGCAGAAACGAGAGCAAATAATAGAGGAAGAACAAGAAACAAAAGGAAATCTTACTTGATTCGGAGAATAAGAATTTTGTTAGCTTTAACCTTCAACTCTTTTGGTTTACTCTCTTTGTTGACCTCAGGTGCACCTTGGTATGCTCTCGGTTGATTTATTTTCAGCTTTCTCTTCTTTTTCTTCGTTTCCCGAGCTCTCTCTCTCTAGAATTCTCTCTCTTTTTCTCTCTATGCGTTCAAAGTGTCACATAAAAATATGAAGTGTAAAAGTGTCCTTCTAAAGACTTAAGCTTCCTATTTATAGCCACACCTCCTAACCCTAGGTCTTATTTAATTTATTTATTTATTTATTCTTTTTATTAAAAAAAGGTTCCACCTTCTTATTTTTTTGATGGCCACCTCTCACATTTCCTTAAACATCTCATCCACTTCCCTTAAAATCTACTTACTAACCTAAATATCTACATATTTAAAATTTGAAATTTGAAATTTAAAATTTAAAATTTTAATCTCTTATAGACCTAAAATTTAAAATCTTATCTAATTTTTTTTTTTATTATTTATGTATTTATTTATTTTAAGAGGGGACCTGGATAAAATTGGGTATTCACAGTTGCCCCTCTTTACTTATTTCTTACTCAATGATATGAATAATAAAAATTTCATATTATTATGGTAAGAAATGGGTAAAGAAGTGAATCAATTTTATCTGTGGTCCGAAAAAGAGGGCCAGTCAGATCCTAGACTTTTAACAAAGAGTAGACGTGTCAGTCAGATTCTGGACTTTAGACAAAAGGTAATTATGCCAATCAGGTTCTGGCCTTTAGCAAACGATAGACATGTCAGTCTGGCTGTAGACTTTGGACAACAGGTAAACATGCCAGTCAGGTTCTGGACTTTAATAAACGTAGACGTGCCAGTCAGGTTCTGGACTTTTGGCAACAGGTAAACATGCCAATCAGGTTTTGGACCTTAGCGAACGGTAGATATGTCAGTCAGGTACTGGACTTTGGACAAAAGGTAGAGGTTTCAGTCAAGTTCTAAACTTTAGCAAAAGAGTAAGAGTTCCAGTCAGGTTCTGGACTATTTTTAAAAAGAGTAAGAGTTTCAGTCAGATTTTGGACAAGAGTGTTTGCCCATGCATAATGATGCATCATATGAAAAGTGGTATAATGATGATGCAAGAGTAATGCATGATGTGAGACTTTTGAAAGCAATGAAGATGCGTGATGCGAGACTTTTGAAAGCAATGAAGATGCATGATGCAAGACTTTTGAAAGCAATGAAGATGCGTGATGCAAGACTTTTGAAAATAATGAAGATGCATGATGCGAGACTTTTGAAAGCAATGAAGATGCGTGATGCAAGACTTTTGAAAGTAATGAAGATGAAAGTCTTTTCAAAATTACAATAATATTTTCATTTTGAATTTGTGATCTGTCATCCTTACAGAATCGTGTGTCTTCTAGTTTGAAATGAGATTTGACTTTCTGACTCTTTTTGTTATTTGAATTCTTATCAAGGTGTATTCCAATTTGACTGCAATTGACGATCCCCAATAATAGTTTGCAGGGAGATTAAAGCTGTGGAATTTCAATGAGCTTACTGTAATTGCTAGATCTATCAAGACACCTTTGATGCCCATTTCTTTCTTTCTCTACTCATTTCCTTTTGTTTTTGTTTTTTATTTTTGTTTCCTCTTGATATGTGTTTAACAAAATGCACAATGAATTAACCATGGTTAGGTTTAAAGAAGATAACTCTATTTACTCAATAAAGAGAATGTATTTACATGAACAAGCTTTGTTGGATGAGTGGAGAGGGTAAGAGTACATAGCTATTTTGATGAACACTTTCTAGATGAACAATGCTAATATCGTACATGAATAACTTTGACTGCTTCTTTAAACAAACCATGAATTGCCCCAGTTTAGAGCTTCAGAAATACGTTTCTCCCAGAGCCGCAAGCACGTGACTGTCTCCATAGTTGTGAATGACCCTGACCACCCTTTTAGTAAATCATAAGTTGCCCCAATTTAAAGCTTGAGGCACATGCTTCCTAGAGTTTCAATTTTTCATCTTGGAACCTCAAAGGTTTGGATGACGCTTCAATTGTTCGTTTAGACTACCTTTTTGGGTTACAGCTTAATAGTGAGTTATCTTGCCCTAATTTTTGCTTGGATCGCTCTTTCGAGTTTTCAATCCAACGAGCTGCTCTAATTTTTGTCTAGGTCGCCCTTTCGGGTTTTCAACCTAGTGAGCTTTCACCTCTTTTTTTTTTTCAAGGGTAGTATTTTTTAAATGCATCAGAATTCATAGGATATGATAAGTCTTTGCCATCCATGTTCAAAAAAATCAAGGCTCCTCCTGAGAAAGCCTTCTTTACGACGTAAGGTCCTTTATAATTTGGAGTCCACTTACCAATACGACTCTTTTGAATAGGGAGTATCTTCTTGACTACCAAATCCCCTTCTTGAAACTCTCGAGGGTGTACCTTCTTCTCGAACATTCTCTTTAATCTCTTATGGTACAATTGACCATGACACATTGCATTTAACCTTTTTTCCTTCAATAAGGTTTAATTGGTCAAAACGAGTTCATACCTATTCCGCTTCTTCTAATTCAGTTTCCATCAGCACCCTTAGTGAAGGGATTTCAACTTCAATTGGAAGAATTGCTTCCATACCATATACCAAGGAGAATGGAGTTACCCTGATTGATGTGCGGACAGACGTACGATACCCATGTAGGGCAAAGGGAAGCATTTCGTGCCAATCTTTATACGTCACTACCATTTTCTGAATAATCTTTTAAATATTCTTGTTAGCTGCTTCAACTGCTCCATTCATTTTTGGGCGGTACGGAGAAGAGTTATCATGCTGAATCTTGAAATTAGCACATAACTCTGTCATCATTTTGTTATTGAGATTAGTGGCATTATCCGTGATCAACTTATTTGGTAGGCCGTACCGAAATATTAATTCCTTTTTGATAAACCTTACTATTACATTTCGAGTCATATTGGCGTATGAGGTGGCTTCAACCCATTTGGTGAAATAGTCGATTGCTACTAGGATGAAACGATGTCCATTCGATGCCTTAGGCTCAATGGGCCCTATGACATCCATCCCCCACATTGAAAAAGGCCATGGTGATGACAAGACATTTAATGTTGTTGGTGGGATATGGATGTTATCTGCATAAGTTTGACATTTGTGACATTTTTTCACGTATTTGAAGCAATCAGTCTTCACGGTTAGCCAATAATAGCCAGCCCTTAAGATCTTTCTTGCCATGGCATGTCCATTTGCATGTGTTCCAAAGGAGCCTTCATGAACTTCTCTGATAATATTTTGTGCTTCATTGGCATCCACACATCTAAGTAGTATCATGTCATGATTTTTCTTGTAGAGTATCTCACCATTTAAAAAGAAACTCATTGCCAATCTTGTTAGAGTTCTTTTGTCATTCTCTGAAGTTCCTGACAGATACTCTTTATTTTGGATATACTGCTTGATGTCGTGGTACCATGGTCGTCCATCTAACTCTTCTTCTACTAGTTGGCAATAAGCTGGCTGATCGCGATGTTGAATCTTTATAAGCGGCATATCTTTTTCGTTGCTCAATTCGAACATAGACGCTAGGGTAGCTAATGCGTCTGCCAATTGATTATTCTCCCGTGGGATATGATGAAAGGTGATTTCCTCAAATTGCTTTATCAACTCTCTCACAAAAGCTTGATAAGGGATTAGCTTGCCATCTCTAGTCTCCCATTCACCTCGCGATTGATGAATCACTAAGGCCGAATCACCATATACGTCAAGAATCTTGGCTTTTGATTCTATAGCTGCTTGAATCCCTAGAACTCATGCTTCATATTCTGCCACATTATTTGTACAATCAAAAGATAGCCTTGCTGTGATTGGGATATGGTGTTTCTCTGGGGAGATTAACACAGCGCCAACTCCATGTCCCAATGCATTGGAGGCCCCATCAAATAGCATGATCCATTTTTCCTTTCCTGACCCTTCTTCTTTAAACAAAGTCATTATGTCTTCATTGGGAAATTCACATTGCATTGACTGGTAGTCGTTTACTGGCTGGTGAGCTAGGTAGTCTGCTAGGGCACTGCCTTTAATTGCCTTTTGAGTGACGTACACAATGTCATATTCAGATAAAAGTACTTGCCAACGAGCAATTCTCCCAGTGAGAGCAGGCTTTTCAAAGATATACTTGATTGGATCCATCTTTGATACCAACTAGGTCATGTGGCTAAGCATATATTGTCTCAATCGGCTGGCAGCCCAAGTTAAAGCACAACAAGTTCGCTCCAACAATGAGTAATTGACTTCATAATTGGTGAATTTTTTGCTTAAGTAATAAATGACATGCTCTTTTCTTCCAAAGTCATCATATTGCCCCAACACACAACCCATTGATCCATCGAGTATTGTCAGGTACATGATTAAGGGTCTTCCATGAACTGGTGGAATCAAAATTGGAGGGTCCTGTAAGTACTGCTTGATTTTCTCAAAGGCTTCTTGGCAATCATCATTCCATTTCATTGGTTTATTTTTGCGCAATAACTTGAAAATTGGTTCACATGTAGCGGTCAATTGGGATATGAATCGGGCAATATAGTTTAGTCTCCCTAAGAACCCTCGAATTTCTTTTTCTATGTTGGGTGGTGGCATTTCAAGAATTGCTCAAACTTTGTTAGGATCCACTTCTATCCCCTTTTGGCTAACTATGAATCCAAGTAGCTTGCCAGACTTCACGCCAAAGGCACATTTGGCTGGATTCAATCTCAGCTTGAACTTCCTCAGTCGCTCAAATAGCTTCTGAAGAAGAACAATATGATCCTCTTCACTTCTAGATTTTGCAATCATGTCATCTACATACACCTCAATCTCTTTATGCATCATATCATGAAATAAGGTCACCATTGCTCTTTGGTATGTTGCCCCGACATTTTTTAACCCGAACGGCATAACTTTGTAGCAAAAGGTACCTCAAGGTGTGATGAATATAGTCTTTTCTCTATCTTCTTCTGCCATTTTGATCTGATTATATCCTAAGAAACCGTCCATGAAGGAGAAGAATTAGTGTTGGGCTGTGTTGTCTACAAGCATGTTGATGTGAGGCAGTGGAAAATCATCTTTAGGACTAGCTCGGTTCAGATCTCGATAGTCTACGTACATTCAGACTTTTCCATCTTTCTTAGGGACAGGCACTATGTTTGCAACCCATTGTGGATATTTTGCAGCAATTAGGAAACCAACATCAAGTTGTTTCTTCACTTCTTCTCTGATTTTTAAGGACATTTCGGGCTTCATCCGTCTTAACTTTTGCTTGATCGGGGGACATTCTGGCCTTAGTGGTAATTTATGTTCCACAATATTTGCATCGAGGCCAGGCATGTCTTGGTATAACCATGCAAAGATGTCCTTATATTCATAGAGGAGTTCTATCAACTTGCGGCGCTCATTCTCTTTCAATAAGGTGCCGATTTTGACTTCATTTTTCTCTTCTCCGAGGCCCAGATTAATCATCTTTGTAGGTTCTTGGTGGGGCAAAATTTCTTTAGTTTCTTGCTTTACTAGCCTTAGCAGTTCAGGAGAAAGATCGTGCTCATGCTCAGTTTCATTGCTAGCTTGATTAATGAGACATTCAACATTACTCTGAGCGATATTAGCATTGACACTTTTGAGTATATCATCGTCAGGTCTGCACAATTTATAGTTTGCAATAACAAAAAGATAAGAAGATAGCAAAAGGTCTAATAATAAGAAAGGAATGAAATTTTATTGGAAAATTCAAAATGCATTTTATTGATAATATCAAAAGGAAATATGTATGCCCGATTCAATAAAACAAAATAAAGAAAAACAAATATCCTAAAGCCTTGGGCAGAGCAATAGAATCAGCATTACAAATTACTTGAATTTTGAATCTAAAATCACAGGAAGCTCAATGATCTCCCAATTGCCGATCTCTGTATTCGGCGAGCACGCCCAAACTAAATTAACATGTTCATCTCCGTGGGTATCTTCCTCAACAGCAGCCACTGGATCTGCAAATTCAAATCCTGCACTTTGAAAGCTTTGTAGGAGATCACAAAAGGGGATCCTTCCAGTTTCAGGCTCTCTATTTTCTAATTTGGCCATCCTCTTTTCTCTTCTCTCAGCTATTATCCTTCTTTTATCTGCCCTTGTTGGCCTATAACCAAGTCCAAATTGATCTTTATTGTCAATTGGTTTAGGCAACTCAATCAATCCTTGCTCATTTTTGCCTAACCCGCATCCAGGCCAGTAACCTTCCTCAAGCATAACTCTCGCTATCATCATAGCTGTATCTGATGGTTGTGGCTTCATGACATATGTTCCCTCCCCCACATACGTCGTATTAGCAATCTCGAGTGCCTGGAATGAGGTTTCCAGAGCCTCTTCAGTGACGTCAATGTAAGGGGTGGATGAAGGCTTAGTTACTAACAGGTCCTCTTCAGCTGAGACAATGACTAACTTGTCATCTATAATAAACTTCAGTTTCTGGTGAAGTGTAGAAGGTACAGCCCTTGCACAGTGAATCCATGGTCTACCCAAGAGATAGCTATAGGCCGGTGCGATATCCATCACATGGAATGTTACCTCAAAGATAATAGGTCCAATCATCACCGGTAAAGTTATTTCCCCAATCACTTCTCTTTGAGAGCCATCGAATGCTTTAACCACCATGGTACTTGGCTTCATGTATGATCCATCTGATGATAACTTTGCTAGGGTCATTTTAGGCATTACGTTTAGTGAAGAGCCGTTATCAATTAAGACTCTTGCCAAGATATGATCCATACACTTCACAGAAATGTGCAAAGCTTTGTTATGTCCCGCTCCTCCCACGAGAATTTCGTCATCAGTGAATGTAAGATAATTATTAGCACTGATGTTGCCCACAATACCTTCTAACTTGTCAACTGAGATATTATGGACAACGTGAGCCTCATTTAAGACTTTCAACAATGATTTTCTATGAGGTTCTGAGTTTATCGTCAATGACAACAATGATATTCTAGCAGGAATTCGGTTTAGTTGGTCCACCACCATATACTTGCTCTGTTTTATGAGCTTCAAAAACTCACAGGCCTCTTCATGAGAGACCATTTTCTTTTGTTTCCCCTTTTTGTCTTTAGCTATTGAGTCAGTTGCCTTGGTGCCCTCCTTTCCACAATTATTCCTCTTTTCTATCAACTGTTCATTCCTCAATTCCTCAGGAGTATAGATTCGACCACTCCGAGTCATACCTCCGACACCAGCGATATTTGTAACATCAACAGCATGGGAATCAATGTCCTCTGATTGACTCTCTCCATGATTATTAGTGTAAACTTTCACATCATATTTCCAAGGTATCGCTTTATTGTCCTTATATGGGAAAGGCATAGGGACTCGTAAAGTGATGGGCTTTGGTAGAGTAGATACCAATGCGATTCTTTTCTTAGTGTAATGGATCACTAAAGGTTTTGGGCTGTTTGAGGTCAACTCGTCAACTGCTAACACTTCTTGATCAATCTTAGAGCAACTAATTTGAATTAATTGCTTATCCATAAGGTCTTGCAAAGTGTGGGTAAATTCAATACATTCCTCCAATGTGTGGGTTGCATTAGGATGAAACTCACAACCATTTCCTCTTTCTGAACATCGCTTAAGTAGTCCAAATTTGCACATTTCTCTAAAAATGGACTTCAATGAGGTCTTCACTTCTTCAACTTTTCTCCTCAAGAATTGTTCTCTGCCTTCATTAATGAGGTTGATAGACGGTCCCTGATGACCTGGCAAAGGATTGCTTCCGATATTGGGATTCTTCTCCTCAAAACTTATCCACCCTACATTAATCAAATCTTGCACTATAAACTTTAGTGCCTTACAATTTTCTGTGGAATGGCCAACAGCACCTGCATGGTATTCGCACCTAGCATTGGGATCATACCCCCTGGGATATGGGGGTTCCAGGGGTTTCATGGGACAACGCACCACCATTGAGCTCTGCAGTAACTGAGATAACAGTTCTGTATAGGTGATAGGGATGGGGTCGAAGTGAACTGATTTTCGGTCTTGATAGTTTTGGGGTCTAGCTTGGTTAGGATAAGTGTGATGGGCTTGGTTGGTTTGGGGTGGTTGTATAGGGAGTGTGGAGGATGGATTTTGTGTGTTGGGATGGTAAGATTTATAGGGGGTATGGGCTGGTCTACGGTCGACTTTTCTAGAGGGGTGAAACGTTACTGCATTGGCTTCCCCTTCTTTCTTTTTCCCAGGTCCACTCAATGGCCTCTTGATGCTAGTTGCCCCCGTAGCATATGCAATTTTTCCACTTCTCATGCCACTTTCTACTCTTTCTCCTATAATGACAACGTCAGAGAAGTTTGCAGAGATACTTCCAATCATCTTGTCATAATAGGGAGATCTAAAAGTATCAATGAATAAAGAAACCATTTCCTTTTTTGAAAGGGGTGACTCAACCTGTGCTGCCGTCTCTCTCCATCTTTGAGCATATTCTTTAAAAGTTTCATGGTCTTTCTTCATCATGGTTTGAAGCTCTAATCTATCAGGAGCCATGTCAATGTTGTACTTGTATTGCTTCAGGAAAGCATCAACCAGATCCTTCCAACAACGAATACGAGTACGTTCCAGATGCATGTACCAATTTAAAGCTGCCCCAGTTAGACTATCTTGGAAGACATGGATTAACAACTTGTCATCACGGGCATGCGACGCCATTTTCCTGCAGTACATTGTTAGGTGACTCTTTGGACATGTAATGCCTTTGTATTTATCAAATTCTGGTGCTTTAAATTTTGGAGGAATTACTAGGTCTAGCACCAAGCAAAGGTCAATTGCGTCTCCAATACCGTAACTATTACCCTCAACAGCTCGCAACCTGTCTTCCAAGAGTTGCAACTTCCCTTTAGAAGGATCATCCTCATCTGGCTGAAACTCTTCAATAGTGGGATGAAAAGATGTGTTAGCAATACCAATGCGGGTAGGTGGATTCCCTTGGGTGCTCAGGTTGATAGTTTGCTGTTGAAGGATAACCTGTGGGTTAGGAATAGTATCCTTTGGCAATATAGGAAAGGTTTGAGGGCTTTCGGTGATGTTTGAGGGCATGCCTGGGGGTTGGGTAGATTGTTGTTGAGTGATTAATGAATCACTTATAGCTGAAGGTGCATTATTGTATGATGAAAATTGTGCCTCTTGAGCCATAGGTGGTGCATAGCCAGCTGGGAGGCCATAAGGTGGGAATTGAGCCTCTTAAAAATTAGTCTGTTGGACAGGCCCAGTGGGATGCAATGTTAGTGGTGCCATTGTCCCTTGGGGGATGAAGCTGGGTGGATACGTGGGAGTAGCAGGCGGTCCTTCATTAACTGGCGTGATCCCCTCAGTGTTTCTCCTTTTCAAAGATTGCAGTATTTCAAGAATTCTGGCCATTTGATCTTTCAGTTGGTTGACTTCATTTCTCAACTCTTCATTGTATTGTTCTAATTCGTCCATGATCTTTGACTGGCAACGCGTTCTGTAAGGATGTCTGATTCGCAATTTTGCTAATTTTAATTATGAAAAGAGCATGATGAGTAAAAAGAAGACTACTAGAATGAATATGTTTTTGTTAAATATTCAATGTTTTTAGAGAAGTCCCTACTTTTCAACGCTAGAGGCAAATCCCCCTTAGGTCGAGCAGTAGTTGACACTCAGTCTAAGGAAGCATTCACTTCTCAATAGCCGAGATCTTACTCATTAGCAATGCATCATATGCCTCTTGCTCTCATTCCATGGCAAATCACTTCGGTTAAGAATGAGGGTATCCTCAATAGGTGAGATTTGTATTAAAGCCAAATATGAACGCCACAAATAAATTTTATCCCATATCAAATAGAATAAATACAGTGTCATTTTCAAGTGAAGGAATTACACATGCACCCTAAAACTCATAGCAAGGTTTTTACAATATCTGAAGAACATAATGACTTTAAGAGGAAACACAATCTCATCGTTCCTCTAGTACTCTTCCTTTGCTTCTCGAAAGTGTTCTAACAGTTGTGTGGTGTGACGTTGGACGCAGTCATACATGTCATCGCACCTCTTCATCCACTCCCTCTTCCTTTCCTGTTCGTACTCGGCTCGAATGCGCCATTTATATTTCTCATTCTCAAGTGCTTCATTTTGGTTTTGTAATTTCCTCTCCCTTTCAAGAGTCTCGGTCAATTCTCTCTTTAACATATTCATTTCATCTTGCGCTCCCTTCATTTTAGAGAGGGATGCCTCCTTCTCTATCTTCAGAGCCTCCGTCAGCATGTTTATTTCATCTCACATTCTTTTCATTTTTGAGAGAGAAGCTTCTTCTTTCTTCTTTCTTTTTACCCCTTTACCATTTGAGTTGTCAAACCCGTCGGCACATTGATCTTTAAATGATTTATTTCTCGATCTTTCTTTTGACATTATCTCTTGAGCCGATCAACCTCCACCTTGGCATATTCTCCTTCCTCTTCCAATAATCTCATTTGTGCTTTTACTCCTTCTAACTGGGTCATCAAGGAAGTCACTGCTTCATTGGGTGCTTGAGAAGATTTCTTTTCTTGACAATCTGCTTTAGGGGCTTGATTTTGGGTACTTCTAGCTTCCCTCCACTCTCAATATTATGGTGAGAAGGTCACACAAGGTTTACCCAGTTCCTTCTCTCCCTTTCTTCTAACATTCTCCAATGCAGCTTTGATTTCTTCTAGACGCTTATTTGCACCATCTCCAGTATACTGGAATATCAGTCCTCCCAATTCTTCATTCCTTGGCTTGGTTTGAGTCCATTTGAGTTATCTGAGAGCTACAGTTGGAGTATATGCTATGCATCCTCTTGGTCCCATCAAAGGCACACTTGAAAACTTTCCGCAACTAACAATGGTGTCTCTGGGGTGGTACCAAGGACATACCCATGGAAAATTTTCAGCATTGAATCTCAAGAAGTCTTCTTTCCATAGTCGAGAGTCTTGTTTTTTGATTGGAATGCGATGAAAACTCCTCAAAGGATCGGGTATTTGACCTATATGATTTGCTGCATAGAGATGGGTTGTGAACCAAATAAATAGTAAATGAGAACAACATCGTAATGTACCCCCTTTTCTCTGATGACATACTTCCATAGAAAGTAAAGTACCTGCTAAGATAGCTGGAACTGGATTCACTCTGTTTGTTTCATATTGGTAAAATACATCCATAGCAGCTTGGTCTACAAAACCTGAGGTGAATGGGAATATAACTAATCCATAGATTAATAATGCGAGAGTCTTGTTGAAATTGTCCCAATTCCCTTGCTTGTATAACGACTCCAGATATTCTTCTAAATAGCCCTTCTTCCAACCCTGAACTGATCCCCTGTTCTCAAACTCGGCTCGTTCTGTGCTTGGGCCGATAAAAGCAGCTATTTTCCTGGATCCCACGTAGTTTCCTCTATACAGATATACCTTATTGTCTTCCTTGATTGATAGCCTAACCATTATTTCATATTCTTCTATGGTAGGCACAAGATCCAAGTTGGGTAATTCCAAGCATCTGAGTTTTGAATTCCAGAATTGGGCTATAGTGCTCAACATTGGTGTTTCTATTGAGATAGAAAGCAAATCGAGGATTTGACCATATTTCCTTTCAAAGTTTAAATGTGCTTCTTTGGGCATATGTTGGCGAATCTCATTCACTCTTTGAAGGTCATTACTCAACACAGTGATTTTGATACTTCTCATTGGTCCTGATGCATTGCTAATGTGACCTTGAACTTCTCTCATTTTTGAATGCTATTAAATCTTGTAAAAATTTTATACAAAAAAAATGAGCATAATGAAAAAAGAAAAACATAATAAAATAAAATTGATGTTTGATATGTAAACTTAATGAATGCATGATAATTTGGATGATTGCAAATAATGAGATGAAATGTAACCCATCATCCTTAGGAGATGTCCTACCGATGCATGCTCAACGTAATGACCTTGATTTTCGCAAAATGAATATTTTTTAATTTTTTAGATGCAAAGGAAAGAAAATTGTATGCTCATGGTATGCATGTCATGTTACTAAAGCTATGATGAATGAAGAGAAAAGGAGAGTGAGCTCCTCATGTGTCCTTATTTTGGGTAGAATCCTATAGTGAGGTGGTCACTATGGTCATTAATTAGTGCATGGTTTTGAGGTGGATCTAAATCCCTAAGTCTATTATGGCCCTCAGATTGTCCCTATTAAATTATAAGGACCCAGCTTATAACCTTGCCACAAGTAGGGACATTTCCTCTCAATATGACTAAGCCATGATGCTAGTAACAACCTGAGCGATACCCAGACGACGGCCAAGTGGGCATCAAGCCCCTCAATAACAGCAGTCAAGGCATCTTCTATTCCTAGGCTTGCACAGGCTTGGGTATAGAGCCCAAATGTGTGTGAGGTGAGCGTTAGTGATGTGTGTGGAAGGAGTACACAAACCATTACCCTACATCAAATATCAACAAACAAATAACAAATAGTACAAGGGTCATCTATCCTAAGTTTCATAATATATCAAGAGAACGAAATATATTTACAAAATACACTAGACGATAAGTGAAATAAAAGGAATATACAAACAAGATAAAAAGTGAAACAAATATGTAAAAAGTTAAAAATATTGTACAATTAATTAGATTAAGCTTGACTTTAGAAAAAGTCCCCAGTGGAGTCGCCATGACGGGACGACGATGACAAGGAGTCGCCACCAAAGTTTATTAAAGAAAAACATTGGAAAAAACTTTTAATAAAATAATCTTCGAAGCCATGTTTGGGCTCGGGAGTCGTTTACGCATAAGGAAGGTATTAACATCCTACGACATCCGTTGATTAAAACGGTTACTTTCTAACTAATTGTGCAAAAATTATTTCAACTTTAAAAATTATTTATTTCATTTTTCAAAGAAAATTATTGATGTTTTTTTTTTTTTTCATTTATTTTTAACATTTTTAACATTTTTTTTAAGTTTTAATTTTATATATATATTTTAAAAATACAATAAAAAAATTTGAATTAAAGAAATGAATATATATATAAAAAATACTATTTTTCTTTTATTTTCGTATTAAATAAATTTAAATAAAATATGACATGATTTTTTATTTTTCTTAAAGTAAGATTTTCCTTTTTTCTTTTTCGTATTTTTTCATTTTTGAACAATGAGCTAAAAATCTAATAGAGAAAGTGAAATATTTATAAAATATTATTCTTTTTATTACCATATTAAATAAATTTTAAAAAAAATAAAAAATACTATATTTCTTTTTATTTTCGTATTAAATAAATTTAAATAAAATATGATATGGTTTTTTATTTTTTCTTAAAGTAAGATTTCCCTTCTTTTTTTTTTTAGTTTTTGAATTGTGCTAAAAATCTAATTGAGAAAGTGAAATATTTATAAATATTACTTTTTCATTATCATATTAAATAAATTTGAATAAAAATCAACCTAATTTTTTTGTTGTTAAGTAAAAATTCGTTTTTTGCATTTTTTTTTTGTAAAGAACTACAGAATTTAGTTTTAATTGGAAAAATGGATTATTTACAAAATATTATTCTCCTTTTAATTTTTTTGAATTGGATAAATTTAAACAAAATTTAATTTATTTTTTTCTCTTTTTTATTTAAGTATAAAATTCATTTTTTATATTTTTTAATAAAAAATTAAAAAATTAATTTAAATTAGGAAGATGGATTATTTATAAAATATTATTCATTTTTTATTTTTCATATTAAATAAAATTTAGCTTGATTTTTTTAGTAAATATTTATTTTTTATTTTTTAAATAAAGAAACATAAAAATTTTAATTTGAATTGAGAGAAAGAATTAATCATAGGATCTTATTGCCCCCTCTTTTTTTTTCTTTTTCTTTTTTTTTTACATTTTTGGCATTAATGAAAATAATCTTAAAATATTTTTTTCTTTATTTACTTATTCCCCTTTTTTAAATAAACATAGAAATTTTGTTTTCCTTTTTTATTATTTTGAATTGCTCATAGTAAAATTTTTTTAAAATAATTTAAAATTTAAAAAAAAAATTAGACTTGACGGGTCAAATTTCCGCTCCTACGTATCTCCCGTATGTAACAGAAGAATCAAAGTTGTCACATAGTTCTTTTGAAAATTAGGTTTGAAAGAGTTTCAAAAGTGTTAATTAATTTTTTTTGCTTGATTTTTAC